AATCTTCTTTCTCAATTCTGACACGGATATATCATTACGTGCTTGGATAGAACGCTTTTCCGTGATGAAATCAAGGCCATTGACAATGACATTAAACGATAAAGTATTAATCGTTTCGTCGACCAGTTTACGGCGCACAAATTAATTCGCCAACCATGTTATTTATTATCAGCGATCGCTAAACGCGTAATGGTTTAATTAATTAGACGATGATAAAGGCAATTAACTCGCACGCGTTTCGAAAAGTCGAAGTTAATTAAAGAATTCCCGTGGATCTTTCGTGTACGAATCGAATATTGCGTTTCGTATTCTCGGAGAACATTCGCGGCATGTAATCGCAGAAAATGTAATTACATCTGCAGTTTTACACACCGTCGAGAATTTGCAGAAGCAACATGCGATTTTCGAGCGTTAAATGCTTCTTCGAAATCATCGATCTCAAAGAACGAATACTGTTTGAAATACATTTCTACCGCGGAATGTTTTTATGATATATAAAGTACCGAACAAGAACATTTAATTATTTCCTTTGACGTTAAAGATACAAAAAGAAGTATTCCAATAAAAAAATAATTCATTTACACTTCTACGTGGTAATCGAGAATATTAATATTTACGTAATAATGTTTCAAAAGAAACATAATAATCTAGGGACAAAAAGTTTGTGCCATACGCAAAGTCCTATGATTGGCAGAATACTTCGTCAATCGTGTAGCCATTATTTAATTACTAATATATGCAGGGTGTTCGGCCATCCCTGGGAAAAATTTTAATGGAAGATTCAAGAGGTCAAAACAAGACGAAAATCAAGAATACTAATTTGTTGATGGAGGCTTCGTTAAAAAGTTATTAACGTTTAAAGTTCCGCCGGTAGTGAATTTTTTTCTAGAAAATGGGTAGGATTTCGGCGGTAGGTCTATTCACCAAAAATTATTGTAATTGACCCCCGAACCCTAAAATAATTTTTCCAGAACGATTTGAAATTTTTTAATTTTGTCGAAAAATTTCACACCTCGAATTTTTTTTCTCGAAAGTGAATAGGATTTCGAGGGTATGTCTATTCACCAAAAATGATTGTAATTGAGCCCCACAACCAATAATAATTTTTTCAGAATAATTTGAAATTTTTTAATTTAATTTTTTAATAACTTTTTAATGAAGTCTCAGTCAAGAAATTGATATTCTTGATTTTGGTCTTATTTTCGCCTCTAGAATCTACCATTAAGATTTTTCCCAAGGGTGGCCGAGCACCCTGTATACTCAAAACATTTATATATTTATTCGTTTTCAATGTTATCCTGTATATACCGAACACCCATTGGATTTTAGCATCATTGATATTTAAATATCATATTAAATGTATATATTCTTCTGTGATTGACAGTACGTCTGTAAAAAATGTTTCCATCAACTGAATTAGCAGAACACTATGATAATGGATGGCCAAACGTTTCAAGAATACGCAACGCGCATTTAAATCAGACATGCCATAGTATGTACTAACAGGAAGTAAATATAAATGGATTGAAAGGCTCAGTCAAAAGCTAGCCAATGTCCAAATCAATGATAAATTCCTCCCATTGTCAAACTCGTGGCCACGTATGTACGTCATAGTGCCTTTCTTTATCTTTTTTTATCCATGATCGCGAAACCCTGAGAAAACCAGGAAATGAACTTAAATATTTACTAATCAAAATACGCGAAGAAAACATTTTTTGATATATTTTTGTCAATTCTAAAATACCGGAATGCCTATGTAAATGAATCATTTCTATATTACTCTCACAATCGATAAAGAAATCTACATTAATTACATTCTAAATCATGACGATCTTATATGCAATTATACTTCTATTAAAGAAACCTATATATTAAAATATATGATCGTTATGCTTCCTTATTAAAATTCTTGTTTAATTTAAATTCTAAATGAAGGTAAATAATTCGATAATATATTTCTCTACGCGAAGGAAACAATCAAGATTAAGGAAATTAATATTGCATATTGTTCGTAATTGAAATCGGGCATCGACCTACTAGAGTAGGAAGTAAATTCAAGGAGAAATTACCACCAGTCATTAGCACAACTTTAAAAGCAGCAGAGGAAAGGTTTAAATATTTAATTGATCGCCAAAGCAAATCCGCGCTCTTTCTAAGTTTCACAGTCTCTTGATCGCATAAATTGCACAATTAATCAAACGCAAAATGAAATCCGCGTTTTTCAATTGGTGTATTCTTTTAATTGCTCAAATACACAAATGTTTGCTACATAAACGTATCCAAAAGAAGTTTCAATTTTCTTGGCTGTGCAAACATAGAATTTTGAAAGTTAGGTATTAGGAATTATAATCGCCATATTGGGAAAAAACCATTGTAGCAAGTTCTTGCCTTTGTTTGTTGAATTCTATCGTGAGAAACGATGCGTTTACGTTTCTCGAATTATTAATTCATTTATCGCGATGCTATGAAGTCCAATTTATAACCTCGTAAATTCCCTAGAGTCGAGATAACTCGTGCACGTGGAAAAATATTTTTCCGCTCCGCAGTGTACGGCGAGTCCAATGCAACGGAACTTGTGATTTGTAAATTATGTAAAGCGGAATTAAACGCTTCTGTAATAATTATAGAGTTTGCTGAAGTTACCAAACCATTTTCTTCGGAATTATTAGGGATAACAGCATGAAACGTAATGGACGTTATGAGCGTTTAGAACTTTTCCAACTTGTTGATTTAGATCTACGCGAATACGATTACATTAATTTACAATTAAGAAGAAGTTAAATTAACATAAATACTCCGTTATTTGAGGTTCTAAACAACTTTCCAACGAATACTTCACAAGAATAATGGCAATTGCCTACTGAGGGCATTTTAATTAAGCGGTCTAAGCGTACTACGACTTCTGCGAAACACCTTCAATCCTCGCGCCATTGCATCGTGGAGCATTTATAGAAGAATCCTTCCGCGTTGCTGACGAGCCAGCGCAACTAAATCAACACCAACATCGAGATTCAATCACGAGCTTGTTCCTTTCTCGAGTCTACTTTGTAATAGCTACCCAAGATAATTGGAGGCGCGCTATAGAAAACCAGAAGCGATATGCGTGCTCCTCAGCTACTTCGAATTAACATATTTCAATTAATAAAATTACAGGAAATTTAATAAACCCCCTTTCTACGGCTATTTCAAATTATGATCGATCTACACAATAACTAGATATAAATCAGTTAGAAAGTATACTTATGAATCTCTTGAAAGTTATATTTGAATGTACACGATGATCGATACCACCTCTTTCATTCTCAGCCCTGAATTAGAGGCAGAAAGTAATGTAATTGTTATATAATGTCAAACAACGGTCTATGAAGGATCGTACAGTAGTTTAAATATGTCTAAACGTTTGCGAATTTGGGATATGAAAAATGGACAACCAATCTCAGCAAACATGTGAAACTATAGAATACTTCTACCAAAGCTGATCCTTTATTATTTTAGTGTATAAATTAAACATAAATGAAACGTTACTTAGTTTCTTAATCCCTAATATTTGATCCTCCAAAATCTAACATACTATTAAAAATGAGTGGATAATCACCTACTCGTCCAAAATAACCAAGCATTTCGAAAGTTAGAATTACTAGAAAACTCTGTGACACTGACACGTTCGTTACCATACGCCACGCAAACATGACGCATCGTTTCTTGTGAGAGACCAACATCACATGTGCGTGCAGCAATAATTTTCTACTTTATGTCTGTATAAACACAAGTATTAACCAGAGACCAGTATCACATTACGTGCGACATATTCTTCGGAATATTCAGTTGACCGCGAATAAATGTTTTACATTCAAACAGTCTGAAACACACAAGGAACTTCTACAGATTAGCAAGAACACAATTACGAAGAACAAACAGAACGTCGTTTGTACGCAATTCGTTATGCTTGATAAATCGCAATGTTTCAACGTCTAGAAAGTAATAATACGCCAGTCTGTTCTCCCCTACGGAACAATAACGATCCGTTATCGGTAGCAGTGATAGAAACTGTTCTACACGTAGCATGGGAAATATTAGGTCAGCTACAAAAAGTAACGTTAATGAAAATATATTGCAGGCCCGCAGCTATTAATTTTACTATCCAATTCGTTCAGTAAAAAATTACATTCCGAAAAAGTTTATCTCAATAACTGTTTAACTCGAACAAAATGTTGCCTATCTCTGTTTTCAAGCAACGAAACGAGTGTTTGAACTACGCGTGACATTACTAACATTCAGTCCTCCCACGTGCGAATGCATTGTAAAAACCGTTTCTCCGGAAAGACTTGCTTTTCTTTCGTATACAATCGTTTGTATCTTTTTCACATTTGCAATTCTCTCGCATCGAAATCATTTTGGATAAGATCCACGTCGACACTCACGTATCTTCTCTGAACAGCTTAACAATAGCCAACGATAAACTCGTGTACTCGAGTACCGTGCACGTAAGTCTCGAAGATCCCGTAAAACTTTCCAGTGGAAATGTGGAAGCTCGAACGCACGGGCCACGACTGACAGCCATAAAGATCTCATGGAGAACTTCTATTGCTTGTTCATACTAAGCGTCTTCGGAGTGGGAGACCGTTCGCGCCATTGGTCTTGTGTGTAGCTCTACTTATTCCCCACCCCTTGTTTCTCAATCTTTTTTGCGCAAGTCTTACAAAAACTACGCGACGATTTTACTCTCTTTGCAAGGCACATTGACTAAATTCAATCCTAACTAGCATTAGTAAATTATGCTCTGCTCCAATTTTCTGCTTCCAGACATAACATCGATTAACATTTTCTCACATAAACATTGTAATGTGCACGTTTGTCGATCGATTTCAGCATACATCATGTACAAGTGTATGCCAGATACAATTTACTATTATTTTCATGATGATCAACATTAAATATTCTCAGTCAGAATCACATTACAAGAAATATTACAATATAAATGCCGCCTTTTGTTGTTAAACTTACCTATACGTTCCTTTGCTCTGTGGACTATCATAGTCAATGCGTCGTTTTTTGTGCTCGTACTGAAGAGACCCAGCAGAATGTGAACGAGCCCTCGAATGGCTGCGAGTACGGTGATGTCTCCTGCTTCGTGGCATCTGAAACAAACATAAATTAATTTAACATTAATATGTAACTTTTAGAATCGTTTGCCATACAATGAAATAATTTGGGGCTGAAAATATTTTAATTAGTAACAATACAATTCTATGTAAATTATCTGACAAGACTATCAGAGCTTTACTAACATTAAAACATGTACTTCAGATCATAATGATGAAACTGTTCATACATTGTTATACCATATACAAACACATACTAGCGTGCCCAACGATCATTACCTTCCACCTATTATTAAACATTCAAATATATTTAATATTTACTTTTTGTACAAGTTTCATAAAACGATAAAAACAATTTGTTAGTACACAAATATATACTATCTTAGATAAATTATTTTTATCCAAAATTTTTCGAAATAGCAAACATAGTAATACTGAATTCTTTAAACAATGGACATCAGATGCATTGAATAATATTACCATAATGTAGCTATGCAAGGCATATTAACAATGAAACAACTAAGGATTATACCATACATGCATAAGAAAACACAATGTTTTATATGCTAGAAAACACACAAATAAATTAACTAACTATATCTAATTATTTAACTTTGATCAATTCTTTAACACTTTACCTATTAAATTTAATAATCATACAAATGAATGCAAATACCATTCACATATGCAAAATATAATAGTTGCAAATATTTATAAAAATTACAGTTCAATTCTTTATAAACCATTTTGTCATGATTAAATTAAAGAAAGAACAGAAACCAATGATAAAATATAAATGATCAATAGATATTAGATTATTAGATTGGGGGACAATTTTCAACAGTGACAGACATGAAATTATTAGCAACACTGACGTCAAAAATCGAAGAATCCAAGATTATAGACGTACACAATGTATCTGCGATGATGTTGTATGACTTTCCTGAACGAATTAGGACCAGAGCCTTTCTACAGAAGCTAGACAGCATGTACTTACATTGGGAAGGCGAAACAGGCTCACTTGATCCCGAATGAAATCGAAGATGGATGATATCCAGGAACGTGAAGATGATGCTTGCGGTATGACACTGTTTTTGGACAACGACGTGGACATCAGCTCAAAAAATTCTGCAAAATTTGGGCAGCTGCATCGTAAAAGCGTACTAAGCACTACGAAAGGAAACGGCCCACTCCGTTAGGATAAATAAAAATACCTATTATTTGTAAGAATCATCGAGGTGTAATGTAACCCTATGTAATCGAGAGGACTTATTATAAAAACGGAAATACAAATCCCGCCAAAATCTCTTTATCATAGATTTCACAAGAAATGTGAAAAGAGAAATCGACTAGAATGACAGCATGATGTACACAATGTAGACACAGTAGAAAAAAGGGAGATGAAATGGAAATGAGGTAACGGGTACGCGTGGGCACGCTCGCTAGCAAAATCAATGTTAACGAGATGCTTGCCTTTTAACACGAGGTGTCGAGTTTAAACATTAACATTTTCGAAGAATAGATCGTGCATTGTGATCAGATACAATGCACACACATTCAATGATTGTGGTAGTTGTGAAAGCGATGAAATATACAAGTAGAGAGACATATCGCAATGCATACGCCATAAGGAACTTTCATGAAACGGCGGCCATCTTGGAGGTAAAGAAGCATCAAGTACCAGTGAACGTAACACATGCACAATTTCTGTCCAACATTTGATAATACTCCAAAATTTAACTCATTACGATCAATTGTGAGAATATAACTTACATTGAGAGATGAATCAGGCTCGATTGGTCCCAAAGTATACTTGCAAACACAAAATATCCAAAGAGCGCAACGATGTCCTACGTATAACACTGTTGTGTGACAACGACGTGGAAATCGGATCGATGCGATTGGCGAACGATACTCGGCTATGTTCGTACAACATCGTTCACGAACGAACCCGAGTATGCACGAATTTTGCCGATTAACCTCACCGTACGTACTTCCGGCAGATACAAAAACGATGTAACATATGTGAGTTGTGCCGGCTACCATGTTATAGATAATACTATTTTCAGAATTATCTACATAATTTTTCAATGTAATAAAATATTTTCAAATTTAAAAATAACTATAATTAAGTTAAATAATGACGTATTTAATAATTGCATACCCAATGTTAAGATATTGATATTATTTCGAAATTATAATCCATATAATTATAGGCTAATGTTATAATTGAATCATGAAATTATTTAAGCAATATTTATAATATTATCGAATTTTTGAATAGTATGATCAATTTTAATCAATATCAATCTTAAAGCCTTAAATGTTTGAACATAAACAATAAAATGTTCTATGGATATATATGTATATAATATAGAAATTAAATATAATGAATGTTATTGACGATACCCGTGTAAGAGAAAAATATCTTAATTAAGTTATACAATATTTGAAATATGTATAATGTGTTTGATAACCTCGCATATCCATGACGTAAAAAAGAAATACAATATACGTGAAAAACATGGAAATCATATTGTATCGTGCTAAATAGCCATGTGCATTATCCCATTGTACAATGAAAGTAATATTTCTATCTAAAATTGACGAAAACAATCTAGTGTTTAATTTGGAGCGACAACTACATTGTACTTAATTTGTCACAGAAACCTTACGTACCTGTCCCCAAATCAAATTAGCAATAACACGCACAACGCCACATTGGATTAAAGTTATTAAATTCCAAAACATGCTTGAATTTTAACTAAGAACAAGACTAATCATGATGTTCACGAGGTCTCTAGATAAAAGATGTAAATTCCGAGTGACTAGTTGATGACCTCTGTATATTATTCTAGATGGCACCACACTGCAAGTATATTAGAGAGGGTAACTACATCGTTATCGATTTTTTTGAAGACTACGAGACATGACACGCGTGCATGTATTTTTCGGTTTCATTTATATTTAGTATTTAAATTTTCTTTTTATGATTATTTTATTCTTTAGTTTGTATATAGTTTTGTTTTTCGTGTATAGTTTTAGACATAACAACGTTCCTCTCATGATTTCTTCACGATTTGTCTTATTCTATGTAATCAAGTGAGGTTAGGTATTGGACACTGCTGGCCGTGGAGGCCGAGTCACGACTCTAGATCCTTATGGGGTTTGAGGGCTTAAATCTATTATAAAATCAATTTGTACCCTGAAATTAAGGGCTCACTCCTTTCCTTCTAGAAAACCAGAAAGAGTAGAAATCCACTTTAACTTAAAACCACAAAAATCAAGTACTTTAACCTATGTTCCACCAAAAGCACCAGATGGTTCCACCATCTATCTCTGCCCAGAAATACTATTGTCTAAATCTCTGTAGCTAAAGCCAATTATTACTGAATGAATGAATCGCTATTTAAAATCAACACAGTCTCCAAGCCCACTCTGTCAATGTGGGATAGAGGCACATAACCTTAATTATGTGCTTTGGCAGTGTCTTATGGTGGAATTGTACCAGCATACTTTTCTAAAGGACCTTAAGAGGCAGGACTATTGATTCTTTTCTTACCAAACTATTTTAAAACTTTCAAGTCACTCAGCAAACTTCTACATCTCTATAGAAATGTAGAAGATCCTGACTGATTAATTATATTTGAATTGTTAAATAGTTTAAAGAATCTACTGAATATATAAAATTGCCGCGAAAATTAAAAAAACAATCGAATTTAGCTTACCTCTGTTGTCGAATTGAACGCCATGTGCTTACAATTAGACTGAGTCCCGTTGCAATATTTCGTTGCCGCGGAAGAAACCAAATCTGCTATGAACGTCCATAATTCTTTGTACGATTGCTGCAACTAATTCAATTATCGATTTATGTTGTGGTTGATTTAAAATTTCTATTTTTGTTTATAAATTCAATATTTAAGAAAGGACAATATGAAGACTTTTACTGTCGCCCCTAATTCAATTATTGTCACCTGATCAAATACTAACTAGATAAAAGACTCGATTACCTATCCTTCGATCGAAAATCGAATTTCAGTATTTATAGACAATATTTGACAATACAAATACATAACGTGAAGGATCTTTATATAGCATAGAAATCATACAGCTCACAAATAAATACATAATATCCCATACGTGTACGTATACTATAAATAGTTTTACCATTTATGTAACAAATTTTCGTTATGCTAATATCAAATAAAAAAATCTTAAAAATGTCTAATTCTGTTAAACAGACCGAGTCTCAAGCTTTCAGTGCTCAAACTACAGATCGAGTTTCGTGCTTTACAATCTTTTAAGCTCAAATTTCAAGATTTATACATAAACTTTGAAAATTCAGTCTTCAAGATCGAGCCTGAAAGCTTCGAGGACTCAACATTTCCATGGAAGTTTTAAGGATTCAGCCTTCATAGAAAACGATTACAATCTGGTCGAGGTCACGTCGATAATTCAACACGAGTAAAATTGTCCTAGCTCAAAGATACACGATAAAACTAGAATTACTTCAATAGCGTTGCGGGGGCAGAAAAATCCCGATCGTTGGATTGATAAGAATAATATAATCGCAATTAAATGTGGTCACTTCACTTTCACGTTATTTTCACTCCACGTACCTGTCGCCCACGATAAAGATAATTGTCCTGACCCTTTAACACGCTACTTATAGATGCGGTTCTGTTGGTAAAATGGTAGAACAGACACTGTACGAAACCTGCACCCATCGTATCCGGATAGTTGCAGCTTACCGCAAGGGCTCCGTGCAGATAACGTGTTTTATTGTGCAGCGCTTGCGCTGTTTCGCGAACAACTAACCCCAGATGCGAAACGACTTTGTCCGAGCACGTTTCATCGTAATTAAATAACAAAGGGCATTTTCTCTATACAGCGTAACGCGTATTCGTAGATCATGTTGCTCACTCGAATGTAAATAACGGAATAAATGTTGTCACGTATCGAAGGTGATTCATGAATTAATTATGTAAGCTTACAAGTTGGAAATCGTCCATTGATTGAAGTCGAACGCCTGTCCTTATTTCTAACGGCTGCGGCCGCAGGAGGCACGTCACGTGAAATTCGCGACTGCCGTTTAGGTCTTGCTTCCTGTTTCCTATAAAAGACAATGAATGATGTTAGTCGTGAAAAGGCAATTGCTCCGCGAACAATCTAGGAGTCGTTGAATATCGTACGGTGGTTTTCGATTTACGTGGCATCCAGGTCGCGTTTAATGTTGGCCCCAAACCAAGACTCGAAACTCATCTAAAGCCTGATTTAATCTGCAAGCCAAGAATAATATCAGTCATTCACACTTCGCAAATTCGAATTTTATGGTAAATGTTAATTTAACGGGGCGGGCAACGTTACGCCGTAAACGCGTAAAGTATCGTATCGCAAATGTTTCGGAACTTTCTCCAAATAAAGTGACACTTAGTAATAAATAATTCGGCGTGAATCATTAAATTACAGTGTTCGTCCAATCGTACGCGGTGGGTGGAACTAGTTGCTAATGCATCAATTCGATAATTCTTTATGAATCATATATGAATAGAATACATACGACATTGGTAAAATGGATGTCAAGATTGTGACAAAACCGAAGGTTAGGGAGTCAATCAATAAAGTAATGCAGAAACAGTTCGTCCTTTTAATTAAACTTCCCTATAAATATCAAGGTTCATGCATTTTCTAAATAACCTGGCCGTGGCTATAAATGGCGCTCAAGTGGAGTACTCAAGTATAAAAGAAAGATACAACGAAAAATACTGTGAAACTGGAGGTCTAGGTACACGATTTTCACTAAGTTTGTGAAACGAAGTTGTGAATAAAAATGTTTATTTAAAAAAGCAACAATGAATTTAATATCTCAGAGCATATGAATCTTGTTATTCCTTCCCTTCGACATCTTGCAAATTCATGTTTTCAAAGGGGTGTTCCCATTCGTGGAAAAAAAATATTCCTTATAATTGTAACAGTAAGCAACAATGTATCTATGACAATATTGCGAAGGTCAATAGTTAGAGAAGCAGCAGATAAGATTAAGGGATCTTAATCTAGCACTTCTTGATATCTGGAAAAACTAAGAAAACTCAGTAAATTAAGTGTACGAGTTCTGCACAATTTAACGGAGAAAAAAAAGATGGAGAATATTACACGAAAGGGACAGTATGTAAATGAAAATCAACAACCTCAGCCAGAACCCAAAACCACCCTTCATGGTAAGAAGATTCTTTTTTACGTGTAATGGTATCGAAGAGGAATAATTCATTATGAACTATTAAAACATAATAAGAGAGTCGCGCTTGGGGTCGAACACCCAAGAAAAAATTTGGAATTTAGGTTGGTCCGTGTTACGTCACCCACCTTATAATTTATTTGGAACCCTACAAAACTCTTTAAACGGATAAAAATTCAATAACGACAATTACGGAGTTCGTTCAAATGTTCTTTTTCATCCAAAGAAGCTCATTTTTAGCATCAGGAATCGACAAGCTACCGCGTTTAAAAAAGAAGTAAAGCTAGTACGAAATAACGGCAATTACTTGTGTCTCGATCCAATATAAACGTTCAAAATGAAGGTCCATTTTTTGAGAAAATGTTATTAAATTCCACGATCTAGCCCACTGCGCGTTCTCCTAAACGTCGCGACGCGAGATTGTAAAAATGGCATCGTCCAACGAATTGGGCAAGTGCAGGCCGTCGAAGGGGGGTTGCGCTTCTAGCATATCTAAGGGAGGTGGGAGGGGAGGTACGTGTAGATAGCCGACTGGGTTCGCAGAGACTGGCAGTATATTCGTGGTGCCGCGTTCTCTCAGGTAATGAAAAGGATCGATGCGGTTTCCGTGGTAACGGCACCGTCAGAGGAATCGCGGATGGTGGCGAACGGAGCATCGAGTACGGAACTGATGCAGTAACGACGTCGCCGTCGCCGTCGCCGTCACCGAGGGCTGGGACGCTGTTCTCGGACGCGTCGTTCCACCACGCGCGTGTACCCGTGCTTCGAATACCCCTTACGAACTGTTCAGACCGCACGACGTCGCTACGAAACGACGAGCATCATGCGGAGGCGTCAAACCCTCCGCTCCTGGACTCTGGCAACAGGGGCACGTTCGATCGTCGGGACGCCAAGAACGGCAGGATGCACGAGCAACCGTTACAGCAGGAGAAACCTAGATTTCGCCTGCTGCGACGATGGAGCGACATGCCACAGCACCTTCAGTTCAACCCTCACATCCGTACCGGATACAGGCCGCTCATGACCGTCCGCCAATGCCTCGGTAGTCTCTTTTACATCCACAATGAGACCGTCAATATCATGACGCACGGTGAGTTTCAGAGCACGAACGGAGACCCTAGTTCAGTGATTCCCCCAACACTATGCCAGCCGTACAACTTTCGTGAACGGCTATACGAGGGTCGATTGACAACTAAGGTCTCCAATCCTGTAAAATATGTTTCAGATAAGAGGAATTAATGAAACTGATCACAAAATAAAGTAAATATATTGTACTTCAAACGCACGTACATGTTTATTTTTCTACATAATCACCATTCAGCACATGCTCTATCAGTTCTCCCATTCCATTCGTGAAGAAACAGTCTGATTTATTCTTGATCCAGGAACTTGAACTTTGATATTTGATGGGAAATGTTGACTTTCCGATACCTCCTTCGACCCAATTCTAAAATAAAAATTGTATACCCATTGTTTACACAATTTTTGGAGACTCTAGTTATTAATTAACTCTCGTAATATTTAAATTTGTACGACACCCGCAATGTAGAGGTTCACGCGTAACTTACTACTGAAAAATCAGTGATAAAGATTTGATAAGATTCATATAGTATAGATAAGTGAAAATAGTGTAATTCTTTAACTAACATCATTAATTAATTTCTGTAGCTTAGATATACTTATTTGTTTTATTGAATTGTTCCTAATTTTAGATTTTAAGTTAACTTTTTCTAAAGAGAACCCAACAAGAAAGCTCGTTAAAGGCTATTGAAATATCTATTAATTTTAGTAACAATTTTAAAAACAATGAAAAATAAAAAATCCACAAACATTTACAATACACTTCAAACAAAACAGCTTCACGGTATGATGATGTGCCGTCGTATAACGGTTAAGAATAACTGCTGTCATCGGATCGAAATCAATTTACCGTTCAAGGTCACTGAAAGGTCATTCTCGTCATAACGATTGACCATCGAAAAGATGACATGGCGTGGAAATAGGGGAGGTGACCTTGAGTCGTGGACTGAATTTGATCCGAATAAGTTGAGAAAACGAGAGTGGTCTGCTCTGATTGAATTAAATAGAAAAATGGATTACCCTTGAGTTACGCGATTTCAAGGTAAACTGACGTGGAAGATCCTCACATTCGGATCAGCGCATTGCGGGATAACTAAAAATCGATCGTCGAAGCCGTACGTTATCCTTCCTGGATTTACTCTTGACACCGATGCATGACAATGGCAATAGTGCTACGTATTAATAGAATCGATAAATTCATTCGTAGAAAAAGAAAACACCTTACAAGAGCAATTTGCGTACATGCCATGCAGAAAATTTCTAACACGAAAATATCATAGTATATCGATCGCAACGAAGAACTATTAATAAACAAAGACAAAAGCGTGATCGCAGAGCTGAACGTAATGTCGGAAGATCATGTTTTGCTTTTATTCGATGAATTATTTATTTAACGCGACACTGTTGATTTATGCATGCCGGTATTCTATGCAATACGACGCGATAACATTCTGCAACTATGATCGGAGGAGAGATGTGAAATACTGTTTATCGATCTCTACGCATTGCATTGTATAAAATGTTATTTGATTACAGGTCCGCGCTTGTATTGAAATAATGAAACCAACAAGCAAAATTCACCGCCAGAACTATTTTGTAATCTTTTCATTATTCGCACGTAAGATGAAAAAAAAGACAAACACTTGTTGCACTGAGAAAGTTTACACCTTTGCTGTACATATAATGTTTGTATACGCTAGAAGCAAAAAAGTACGCACACTATCGTTTTATCGATCTTTTTTTAAGTTTGTTATTTACTGCTAGTCTTTGATAACACTGTCCAGCAGACAGTAGAAAATGGCCGAAATCAAACGTTATTTTATTGCTAATAATCAATATTTATCAATATTCGTACATGGAAATCAGGTGATTGCTTTAACTAATAAGATCCAGACGTGTACGGTCTAAGATCACAGATAGTTAGTTTTGGAAAATTGTTTGTTATCGTTCAAAGCGGAAGAGAATTTATTACGTAACACATTAAACAAGTTCTACTTCCTTGTTGCGTAAGTCGTAAGACTTAATTCTTTGAATACATACATTGTTATCATTGTTACAAAATTGTGTTTTACAATATCTTAGAACATGTAGAATTATACTAAATATTTTAGGTACCTGGCGAACCCAGAGTTTGGCCATTTTCTACCATTGTCCTTTATTGGATAGTGTAACTATGCTTTCCCAGGGCAAACAATGGTATTAAATCAATTTACAACACGGGTAATTCGTTCCAGGATTCGCTATCTTGTACATGCTACTGACGATACCACAACTTCTTCCATGGAGTGCTCAAGATACTTTCACAGGGATTTTATCATGGTGTCACTTGATCGGCGCCGTTAGTCCGTGGATTGGATCTTTCGTCTATCATCTCTTCATGAACTTAAATTACGACGATGTATTCTATAAGAAGCTGCTGAAATTAGACATGATCGGGATATGGCTGTGTCAAAGTTTCGGTAACGTATCGTGATTAAAAATCGTACAACCCCGTCCGATTTGATCTTGACGAACTTAAATTCATCTTGACGTCCTCTACAATATAATAAAATAAAAAAATATGTTGAGAATAACTAAAAAATTGCTGCTAAGCAGTCACTTTATAATACTTATTGTAACAAATGTAATTAAAACATTGTAGCTATATTTCTGCAATATTTCAAGCTGTGTGGGTGGTAAGATATTTATGGTTGATATAAAATCGATAATTCTACTGTGTATAATCCATATGCATACATGTTTGATGAAACTATGCAATCTATTACATTTTATATTGAATATTTAATATTGATCGGAAACTGCATCTAGAAGTGATAAATGATATAAGAGTCAAATGATTATCAACATAATTGTGAAATTATCGCTTATTATTTTAGGAGCAATACCAATGATAACATCGTTCGTTCACTGCTTACCTACCACCTACTGGTATTGCTGTATTTTTATCTACTGTTTTCTTAGCATTTGGGGACTCCTTATGGTATACCATTTTCTTATTATACAGACTTTCTAGATTCTAATTTCCGATCCTCGTAATCTATGAATGCCACTTATTCCATAGGCAATGCACGCCTATTCTCCGTGGGAAAGAAGATTATGTTTCGCACCTCCTTTCCTTATGAGGATGCTAGTAATGACTCTACGATGTTTTGGAATTGGCGGTGGATCTCCGGATGCTTTGCACCATATTGTGCTACAAGTAAGATATCAAATATTGAGATGACAAGACTGCGTATCGAACAAACGTGGCAATACAAAATGCCCACAGACGTGGTTAAAATAATACAAGTGGCTAAAGCAAAATCATATTCTTTCCATAAAACAATTTATTTCATAAACATACATTATAGTAAATGCAAATAAAATATAGTTCGAGCAGTGGTTCTTAACTTGTGTCCGCGAACTCCAAGGGGGCCGTAGATAAATATTTGAGGGCCCGCAAATTTACATATTTATCTTCTATTCGAATGTCCTAAATTTATCATTCTATTTTGTACAGAGAAATTGTAAGCTTTCTTAATTAAACTGCCGATAAAAATATAGTACTAAGACGGAATTGAAATACGAAATTTTTTAACGATAATCTGCGATATATCGCAACAAGCCAGAATTGTCAACACTGGTTGGAGAACATTAATTTAACTAATAATTGAGAACGTTAAACTGAAGAACATGGCATATAAAGGGATCATGAACTCCATCAGGCTGTCAAAAGGGGTCCGTAGATATAAAAAAAAGTTAAGAACCACCCGAGTTAGAGAATTACATAATGCTGAGAGAATTATTTTTCAGGACCTGATAGCTGTTGTGGGAGCAACCATCGGTGCTTTGCGTATACCTGAAAAGTGGATTCCAGGCAAATTGGACTTTATACTAAATTCTCATAATTTGATGCACGTGCTAGTTGTTCTGGCGGTGTGCTCGATGCATGCCGCCACTTTGCTGGATCTAGCTTGGATGTCCGATCCGTCTACGTGCAATGGAACGTCCTTCGTTCCGTCGATGCACGACGAACTGTGATTGAAACGTGAAAACCTTTCACTGTAGTCTGTGATAAATTTGAGCCTACGACAGCCGGCGATTATTCGTGTAGATGCTTAGCAATCAATGACCAGAACGCCTTTCGCTCGCAGAGCGGAGAAATCTTTTTAAAAAAAAAAAACAGTTGTATCAGAAACGAATGATATAATAGATTATATCAAAGTTTCATAGCGATAACGCGTACGCTGTGAGCGTGTTTTACAATGCATGGAAGAGTTTTAAGTGCAATCATGAGTACAAAAGCGAATCTGTCATATCGAGATTAATGATATAATGTAACAAGTTGTCCAATGTAATTCAAACATTAATAAGGGACAAAAGAATGATATTGATGAAGGTAACGCGACGAAAGAGATCTCTCGAGTGAAATAAGTAAGGCGGAATAAGCACATCAAAAATACGTTTATTATCGTAATTGTAATAATAAACATCCACAGAGCAATGTACAAGATGTGTTCCATGACATTCGTCTATCACTTGAAAGCATAAAACGATTCCAAAATATCGATAGCAATTCACTTAATTTCACCACTGTTTGATTATTCATACATAAATCAATTGCCTATACGACGATATCAAGAAATTATATTATATTAGAAGAAGATCGACTTATCCACGATTCAATCTCATTATTACAAAATAGTATACAATTGGTTAATCGTATTTTCGTTTCTTCCATATACTTTGACTGAGTGTATAGGTTCTTAAGTAAAGTTCTATGTAAAATTAATAACGTACAGAACCGCGAGAAATACAGTTTAATTAACATCCTGTTGCAATAAAAATTATTGACAGGCAATGTAAAATACTCTTGCGGTTCGAATTATTCATATAAATTTGCATGCTCCAGTAGGTTATAGTTTGACCAAAATTAATGATTAATAATCAACCTACTGTGTCAAAGTGATTAATCTTCAATCTTATTTCTATGAAAAATGTGATAGATAACAAATACGAATAAAATATAAAAATAATTTTGGAAATATGAGCACCTATTTTGAAAGCACATAAGGCACTATTAAAGTGCATAATGTAATAATAAATTATATATATATAAATTATTTATCTATACTATCTATTTAAAAATTAACGTAGGGGATAGAACATAAGAGGAAACTGTAATATGAGAATTGTATAGCAGGCAAATAAAAATTATTTAAGAAACAATAAAATAACAAATGAAGAATAAAGAATTTTCTTATTACGACCGTATGTATCATACATGATTATAAGCCAAAGATTACGTTGAAGTACGTATTCACAATGTACAGTGATGCCTCGGAAATTGGCTGATTGCCATTCCTACTAGTTCGTGGAACTGGTTTCCCCGCTTGTCCCGGCGGCCAAATATGGCGGCCAGGGATTTCCTGTAAGATCTACCTCCCTTCAATTTTGGTCAGTTTCGGTACCAAACGTTGGCCAATAACCAAGGCATTACTGTAATTTGTATAAATAACGCTGGCCCGCAGAATTTACTCTTCTTTTAAATATTTGTTTGATTATTGTACTTTTACGTACTTCGAACGATTAATAATTGTATAATCTCTTACAATTGCAGAGGAGCTTCACTTTCATGGGTGTAACTTTTAACCCTACTAAATTTGAAGGGCGGATATTGCCTGTCGATACCCGATACCCTCCATTCCTTTCCAGGCGGTTTTTTCAAATACGATTTTTCTACATGTCCGTCCCTATATTTCGTAAACATAGTATAACTCAACCATTTCAATTGCGAATTCATCCGTCCGAGGTGATTTTGAATGTTAAATTCCTATAAAAACATCGTCCTACAATATCTACTTTATTTTCGTTTAATAGTATGACTATGAATACATACAATGCGAAACGTTTGTTCCCCCAAATCGTGTACAGGTTCTCTTTTCTTTCTACTGTAGTCATTAAATTCTTTTGCTTTTTGTTGCTTGAACACCAGAATGACACAATTGCCATGTAATCTGTATTGGCCAATGATAACCGACGGATTCCGTGGTGTACAAGTTTTTAAGGAATTTACGCAATTTTGCGGTTCGTCGGTTGAAGTTAACATTAAGACTTTTCCTTCAGGAAAAAATCTGTTTATTGAAAAAACATTATAGGCACTGGAAATTTGTGGTAAGCCGTTTATACCAAATTACGCTGTTTCATACCTCAGGTACCTAAAGTATTCCAAGAGATACCAAGGTCTATAAAATCGATCTTGGAAACTATTTTCACCTTCGCGAATATAACTGATTTTACATATATAACATCCATCGTATCTTAGCCTAGGCCGTTGTAAATACATTTCCCTCCATGATTGGTATTTTGGAGTATAGGTTCCACAATTTACACCCCATACTCTACATAATTCATTAATTTCATGGTTGTTCCATTATTATCTAGAAAAATTTAATCAATTGTGCCTATGGCTTACCTAATACAGGCAAGTCTCCAAATCTCTGTATCTCTTGCAGATATGTAAAATCCGCGGCATACGCTAGAGAACATTTCAAGAGACCTCAAGTCAAGTTCTGACGATACTACCCACCTTAAGATATAAAGCACTATTTCTATTGGCAAGGCAGAAATATGTGTTGTCTGTAAAAACAATATGTTTAAATATGCTTTGACATAATTTAAAAAAATTGTCTTTTACTCCTAAATAATAAGAACTCACATTTTGTTCAAATTTAGGCAAACAAACACATTTATTATCGTTTATAATTTTGCATAGTTTGATAAATAAATCACTTTCTTCTTCATCTTCATCATTGCAATTTTCATTGTTATCATCAACATTGTTCACAATATTATTTAAATCTTCTAAACTATCGTCATTAGACTTTAGTTTGCTTGAATCATACAAACGAAATTCAATGTCAGGAACTAATTGCACAGCACGTTTGTAGGACTGAATTGCTTCATAAAACTTTCTACTTCGCTCATATTCAATTCCTTTCAAAAAGAAATGTTTTGCCTAAAATCAGAATTTCTTATAATATATCTGTCTAATGCCGTTTTCTATGAACTGTTGTACCATGTTTTCGATGGAATCCTCATCGCAAGCAACATCAATCTTAACCGTTTTCGAGGAATGAGCCTTGGGAATATCGCGTTTTGGCGATAAATTCAATTCGCGCTGCCATTGCTCTCTAAAAGATGTTAAGGCATCCTCGACGTTGGTATCAGAAAAAGAAGACCCTTCTTGATCATCTCCACCATCATCAGACTCACCAGATTCACTGGAGTGACTCTATTAATGTACATCGAATGAATTGTATAAAACAAAATATATTAAAAGAATTGATACAGTTGGAATGTACAAACTATTAAATGTTTCGTTGAAAAATCATACAGGGAATGACATCTGCTTCGTTTCAGGTTATGTTGATGTAATGAACTTTTTATACAATAACAATGGAAGAACAGTCATTGTTTCCAACTCCTTACGTACCATTTCTTTTCCCGACTCAATTTACACGATGATATATCTTCAACGCTTGTACATTCGGTCGGTAAAACGTAAAACACATTGAAAATACAAATTCCCCACTGGCACCGCCGTTTTAGTTTTCGCCTTCTGTATTGCGACTCAATTCACTCAATTAAAGGTCATAATGTACTATAGATTATTTCCCTGTACTTTTGGCTGGCGCAATTTACATAAAATCTGTATCATTTACAAATAAATGGTTTCTGAGGAACCACAGACGTCTTAAAAATATATTATAATACGTACAGTATGAACAAATTCCTTTCCATACGTATTTAGATAAAAGATATTTTATTACAGCAGAGAGTGTTAACCACGTGTACCGATAGCGTGCAATTTTAAATTTAAATAATTGGTACGTGTTAGTTCGGATAAATATATTAAATATTTATTGAGATTCCTATTAATATTATCTTTAGAGTAAAATAAGTGAAATAAAAGTTGTGCGATTCAAATTTAAAATTTATGAGGTAAACGCAATGTGAACATTTATCAGCGAATAGTGTTGAATATGACAAGAGTTGCGATTTGAGAAACGATTAAAATGTTGGTCCGTTTGAATTTAGAGAAGAAGCTATCTGCATATGTACATTTAAAAGGAGAATCGTAGTCGATTTACTTACATTACTGCTATAATTTTGTAATTGGAGCCATTTGTAGACAAGTAGTAGCGCCTATTGTCGACGGTGAACAGATTCGGTTTTAAGTAGGCTCTATACGATGCGATCAGCAATGGGTTCAAGTTATAATACAACAATCCCGTTGCACTTTACACGAATTTCACTTTCACTGCGATATCAACCACTCAACATTCGACAGATTCGATAATCATCATCAACGGTACGGACGCTGTGCACGAATCAAGTTTAAAAGAACAAAATGGCGCTCTAGAATTTGGGTTGTCGCGTTGCAACTTGGACCCATCGCTAATTGCGCGGTCAGCCGCATCATATAGGGCCACCTTCACACGATAATCGCGAAGATAGTTCTATGTGACATCTAAACAAGTCAGACGCTTATGAAAACGATTACTTAAGGGTTAGAGTAGTAATTAAAGTCTCTCTGATTCATAATTAACATACAAAAATACAAAATTCTTTGGCACGTACTCGGATAATAAACGTTATTAATAACACGTACATTATTTAAAGATAAAGATATGTAGTAATCGTCACATTTAAGAAAAATTTTAACCAAATGACGCACAAAGCAATCGAACGTTCCAGAACAGTGGTGCACAACCGAGTAAAATTTCGAGAAAGGACAGGAATTATTTAAAACGATGTACAAGTTAAACCCGAAATTTTTGAATTTCCACGCGAGGGATCACTCGTAAACAAAGTGTAAATTACTTTTAGTAATATTTGTTGTATTATATTATGTACACTTCCTATCGTCATGCAATGGCGAGCCATAGTTAAATAAGGTAAATCATTGATATATCGATTATGAAACTTCTGTATTCAACCGAACACCCCTAATACATATGCCAAGCCATTATGTTAGAAAAAATCATTAATCTATATTCGATTGTGTTCTGTTTTGATGAGCTCTTATCAGATACGTTCTTCTAAAATTTTTGTCTTCGAACATACATCTAAGCACGATCGTTTCTCACAAAAATTTACGTTCAAATGGAGGGTGGCTGGGTTCGGTTAGAGCGAGTTTCCATTCGCAGTGACCTTGAAGTTGGTGAGATCTGGTCAATTAATATCATTTAGTATGTAATTAATAATCGTATCACTTTTAGTCGAGTAATACAATTATTAATTGCGTGAGAGATTATTTGGCGAATAGTGAAAGAAACGATTCGCTTGCTTGTCTTTTTTTCCACCGTAGGTACGTCCCATACACGTGTATCGACATCGTGGACCCCTCCTCTTCTACAAAGCTATCACTACCTGAATATCATCTTCCCGAGTAAAAGCCGCGTGCTAACCGAATGTGGGCACAGACAGCATCATGAGCTTGGTGAGTACGAAACTGCTCATTCACTGTACATTTTCTACGATAAGTTTCTCTATTTTCACTATCGTCCTCGTCTCCGGTATCTCGCATTTCATATTCGTGCATGTTTTCCAACAGCGATGGGATACATTTCGTGCAGCGTGACAGTGAATCGCGCCCATTAACGACAAGTGAAAAGTGTCGATAGTTTCTTGAAGGAGCAAGTGTAAAAATACGTCAATGGAATTCTATCTGATCGTGTAAAAATTTATATTCCCGACATTAAGTCGGTATTCGATCGAACATATTTTAAATTAACTAGAATTCGTTACACGAGGGCATTCAGGTAGAAGTGAAATTTCATTCATGAGCAAAAGTATTATTTAAATTTCGTAGTTATTTATCAAAATGATGTCGCCTTATTTAAAAAGACGTATGTAAATTACGTCAACGAGGCGGCGATCGAAAGTTAGTTGCGGCGTGTGACTCGTTGCTGGAAAAATTCAGATTTCTACTCAAGAAGAAGTTCCCGATGAGCATTCTGTGCAGTCGACTTTCTTCTCCCGTATTTGTGTGTTTCACGATTCAGATATCTCCAGGTGTATATATACTCGGCGCCTCTTTCAGTGTTTCAATTCATAGTATGTTTATTCAGTCTCGCTGTTCAAAATTAATTAAGTATCATTTAAGACTTACTACAGACACGTACCGATGGCCTCTATAGATAAAGTAAATACGTGTATTCGTTTGCGATAGAGCACAGAGGATTCTGGTACGTTCAATTAGAAAATTAATTTGTACACCGTTGAACAACGTCGATCAATCTTTCTTCGAGCATTTTGCGCGTATGAACGTTTTATGCAAAGTATCCTCTGATTCCTTATTGCTTATAGTTTCACTGCTAGACGACGTTCATTCTTTTATCATTAAAAACTTTCTTTCGGCCATCACACTGTGTTCCTGTAACGTGTTCCTTCCGTCCTCGTCGTGCTATTTTCTTAACTACGCGCATACTTTTCGTTTTGGCATTCCACTTGTATGTAGAGCATCGTACATATTTCGTTCCTTAATTGCCCGACGAAGAAATCGTTAATAAAGTGTACCAGTCTCGAGAAGTGTCTCGAATTCCTCGGACGCAACGCGCGTGTTTCGTTAATATGCGATGTTAACAACTCGTTTCTTATTTGGTACGAGTGCATGCATCGCAATTAGCCCGTAGACATTAATTGAAATTCGAATTAGTTTCACGCAAGAGCTGCTGACCGTCGTAAAACACGCAAGCCGGTCGGATCTGAAACGATCTTCGTTCTTCGGGAGACATTAGCGAATTTCGTGCAACGATAGCTTTCGCGGAGTTAATGAACCGACATGCGGGGATACAGATACTATTAATTTATACGTGTAATGCATACACGCATGGAAACTTAATACTGCGGTTATGGCTGAGGCTTTTCATCTATCGCTTACCACAGTTGGTTGCGTTTGTCGTTTTGCGGACGTATAGGGAAAAGTGTTCCATTACCCGCGAAGTTCTTGATCTCTACCTTGAAGGCAGAATTATAAAATGAGAACGGAAACGACTCGTTCCCTTATCAAAAGGACAAATTATGTTATTCAACCTGAAGAATACAAATTGTCAATTCGATGATGTATGTAGTTTAAAAATCATTTTTTAACTATCTAATAGTTTCTCATAACTCTTGACGAATCGAAAATCTTTAAAATTATTAATTGTTCAAAGCGTAACTGTTCGTTTGTACCGTTGGTTTATATCGTTGATAAATGTTATAGGTCGTTTGAGAAATAGACATCTTTCCGATTCGTTTCGTTTTTAATACGCAGTTAGAGGGACGAATATCAATGCCCCTCGTGTGACCATCGTCTGAGAGAAAGTAATTACCAAATAATTTATGACGAGCCTCGAATTGGGTGTGGATACTCTATGCGTCTCTTCGGTGATAGGTTCGTTGAACCTTAAGCAGGTGGCATCTTTTCGGTACCTGGAGAAGAAAGTTTTTTCCGTGTTCGACGATGACGTACGAAACAATCTTAAAGGAATATCAGCCGCCATCGATCGGTATTAATACATGTTAAATGTCGGTGTTCGGCCACTCCTGGGAAAAATTTTAATGAGAGATTCTAGAGGCAAAAATGAGACGAAAATCAAGAATACCAATTTGTTGATGGAGGCTTCGTTAAAAAGTTATTAACGTTTAAAGTTCCGCCCGTACTGAATTTTTTTCTCGAAAACGTGCAGGATTTCTAAGGTATGTCTATTCACCAAAAATGATTGTAATTGACTCCCGCAATTAAAAATAATTTTTTCAGAATGATTCGAAATTTTTGAATTTAATTTTTTAATAACTTTTTATTAAATAACTAGGACATAACTAGGAAAATCGAAAATGGATAAATAAACTAAATTGTCACACGGTTTAACGATTTATATTACCGATTATAATTAACGAATGTTTAATAGTTATTCGTTGAATTGGAATTGTACGCAAATGTTGTACTCGATCTATTTTTGGCTGGCCCTTTCTCATGACCAATTTTCTTCGATCACTTTCCATCGATCTTTCGACGGGCCAAATCGATCACGATATCTCCTTCGGTTATACGCCTTATCCAATAAATTGTTCCGAATGGGGACGTTCCTTTGATGTTGTTACGAACCTGTCATCCTCGACTTTCACTCCTCGCCCGCGATACGACGCGTAGCAATGCACGCTGCAATTAAATTGCATCTGCTCGTCTTTTTGCTGGCCCTGCCGGACCTATCCATTATTCAACGCCAAGGACTCGTTGTATAATCGTCGTGTACTTGGCGACACTGTCAAAACGCACTTTCTCGCGCCGAGATTTCCGCGTTTCTGTCTAAACCTGTTCGCAATACAAAATACTTCTCTGTTATGTCGGAGGAGGATCGGCCTTCTTCTGTTTCAGATATCTCAAATTACTGTAAACCTTTCAAAAAATTTCAGAAACCTTCGTTCAACCACCCCGTAAGCGAGTTGTCGATTACCATATTTTCTCAATTGTTAAAATACTTGGTCCTGTAGTGTCGCAATCATTACCCCTCCATCATAAGCAAATCTATCATGGAAAAGAAACGCATTATCGTTATTCGAAAATCTGATCGAAGTCTGAAATCTAGATGAGTCCTCGGATCATCTCGGTCTGGTTTAGTGGCGTTAATTACGGTTGTTGCGTCGCGATGTTGTCATTCGCAAAGTGTCTCGCTATCTGGCGAACAATCGTAGGAAAAACGCGGCCGAGCAGTTACATCGAATCGACTCCGGGGTTTGCACGTGACAAAACTCGAACCCCGAGGCTCGTAATATCGAGCTTAAACGCTCGTCACATCAACGGGGACGCTGGCAAGTTCATGAGCGCGGGCATCCTCGACACACTACCGAGTGAAAGTATCCACATTCTGCCCGCGGCAACTTCTCTTCCACGTTCTCCACCTCCTGGCCCCCGTTTTGCGAAGATGTAGACGGTCTCACGGTATTTTGTTTCCGATCGTGCGATGTTAACTACTTATAACTCGCCTTTTAATTTTATGAACTGACCCCGAAAGTTGCTCGTTGCTCGTTCAATAAGTCCAATTATCGTATCTGCTCGAAACATGGTCATACGTGCTTGTAAACATTGAATTCCATGGAAGTTTCAATAGTTGACACCTGTGGTAACCGGTAGACATCTGTAACGTACGGATACCGTTTCTTTCGTGACCTGTACGCACCCCGAAGGGCCAAATATTCCAAATGTTGTAACATCGTTTAGATAATACTTTGGATTGATTGTAACTTTACAACAATGATGGAGAAAAAGGTCTTACTAAATAGCGTTGTCAAAAGTCAACCAGAATACTGTGCTACCCGGTTATATGAAATTGAGTCAGATCGATTTGAATTCACATAACCGGGTGAGGTAGCGTTTCTATTCCACGAATTGATCATTTTCATCTGGAGTACAACCGAGCCTTGCACGTGTTGCCCGACGAAAGTGAATTACGTTCACCGAGAGAGAGAGAGAGAGAGAGAGAGAGAGAGAGAGAGAGAGAGAGAGAGAGTGCGAGATATAGTAATATGTAGCGTGTGAATCTTACATTAGGCACGTGCGTGGGACGAGTCATCCACTAATTGTAAATTAAGTGTCTTAATTATCGATATATTTACAACATTCCAAGTCCATTTTTACAAGCTTGCTTAGTACTGATATCGTTATTGTTATTCATTAAAAACCGAAACTTCACGGCTTTGAAATAAGTGGTTTACAAGGGGAACGTCACCCTGTACTTTCACTGATTTTAATATAAATTGAAAAGTTTTGAAAGTGTAAGTAATGGATCGATGAAATTCTCTCGATGCAAATAAGTCTAAACTCTACATTGTTTGAACTGCTTTCGATTGCATGTTACGCGAATCTATGATTAAGAGCTTTTAAACGTATTACGAGCGCGTAATTAAAAATCGTTAGATGAAAGTCGCGTTTAGACTTATCTTCATCGAGAAAACTTCACTAGTTCATTGATAACAGTCTCATATTGTAATGCACTGTTTCAGCCGATGTAAATTTTCACATTTGAAAGTGCCCTCGAATAATTTTCTATTATGTACATTTAAATATTAAGGTATGCAAATAGTTGTAGGAGGGGAACAGTTTTCGATATGCTGACGATTCGAGATACATATGAAACGTTCTATTTACAGTATGCGTTATTGGTTTACAATTCGTAGTACTGAATACAAATAATAAATTTATTTTACCATTTGAAACTTTCATTCTAAAATAAATAAATTTATTATAACTATATATCTCGTACGAAAAATATATGTATATGATCTTTGCTTTCCCTTTCGAGATGTTTGTTATCCTACGAATTTTTGGGCCAGCTTTCTCGATGTGCCAGCTGTGATTGCAAAATTCAATGAAAAATGTTCCAACTAGATTCAAAAACCTGTTTCCTCTTTCACAAATTTCTCGAGAACAAAAGCATCTAAGACTCTTAGATATACACGCTATGTGTATACTACAAATTATACCCGGTGTTATCCTAAAAGCAATTTCCACAGCTGTGGGCTCTCAATTAATGTAAGCTATACATTATCAAAACATTTTAGATAAACATCCTCGTTGACAAAACGCATCTAGAAGGATATAAGAGACGTACTTCGCACTGAAAAGTATTCGAACACTCAGTTTCAATGAACTTTCTTCCTTGGATTTGTTTCATTTTACATCGTTAGTAAAATCATCGTTGCTTCACTTTTTCTTTGGCCCCGGCATTTACAGATATTTCTGTCCTCGCTTTTCTCTTTGTCTTCGCGTAGCAAAGTTTTCTGCAAGATATAAATTGATATAGTGTATTCCTGCCGCTTTCTTCTTTTATTTGTTTGCAATCTAGATCCTGCTTTTGAGAATGATCTCGCTAATTTTAGTGAGAATTGAATTGTACTGGCAGAAGTTGAATTACGCGGGGGACTAACTATGGTAGTTAATTGACACGAGATGTCACCGCGAAAGGAACTGTTTCGTGTACCTTAAGAGCATAATTTTGTCCAAAAGTACAGCGTTAGAAGTAGATTTTTATACTAGATGGATTTTCACTACTACGAAACACGTTCATCTTCTTACAAGGTATGCAAAACTGTGTTCTTTATCGAACTTGCAAACGCACGTTAGCAAATTTCTTTTCTTCGAGAAAACCGCTCTCTGTAATTTTCGTGGTGAAATCGACTAAGTAACGACACGAATTGATATCACCATGAAAACACAAACTTCGAAAGTTTAGACGTTCGTTCTCGGCATCGTACGTTTAGAAATTTGGAAACAGCAATAGTTGCAAACTATCTCTGTTGCTTTTAGCCCCGATCTTCCCTGCTACGAAATTAATAAACGTAACGATACGTTCTATAATTTTTCTTCTTTTTTTTTTTATAAATAAAACATACGTAAGTAGATCGTGGGAAGCAGATGCAGTGAAATGGTCTTTAAAGAAATCCAAGCGCGACCGCAACAATAAGAAACTGAACGTGGGATATCATCGCGCGACATAAAGTATCACACGAAACCTATAGCAAAATTATTACCGTAATTGGAGCTTGACTGGCTTACACTGATTGCTATTGCGTGATAATTAATCCAATCGGTCAGCGAATCGCTCGATGCTTAATTGCTACAGATTGCTCGCTAATGATACGTCAACAATGAACTCGTCGCACTCTGATGCAACGGAACAATATTTTTTGAAAAGTTGATCAGTGTTCAGGCTTCAAAATTCAAATTGTTATTATTTAATACGACGTATATAGCTAATCGACATAAACAAATTTTTTAATATTTGTTTAAAGAAATTCAACCGTTTAAATAGAACGTATTGAATAAATTCCAGAACCGTTTCAACTGTTTCAATCCTTAAAAAAATGTATATCGAAGAACAGGAAGCTTAGAATTTTCTATATCCGTTTACTTCGATTCAAATTGAATCAATATCTTATTTTTATTATCGGTAACGTCCATGTTTCTTTTTTTTTATGATGCACTTTCGAATAATGACGAACTATTAACCTTTTTGCGTGTCGTTGTTATTTTCTAATAGGCGAGCCGTTTGCTTGCCGCGGAGAAATTCACGCTGGATCCGTTCACATGTTGGAAAATGACGAGTCGGTGGAATTGTCTTCTGGAAAATCGACCCGTAGAAAGCCGATTGTCGATGAAGACGTCGCTCGCACATTCCGCCATACAAATACCTCTACAATTTCACATCGAGACTTTTCGAATCGTAAACTACTTCTCGATTTTGCAGTTATTCCTCAACTGTTAAGAATCAAGGACAAATTGTCTTTATCAGACAGATATAAGTTTGATTTAAGTCGTAACACATTTCACACACGAAACATTGCACCCACTTTTCTCCTCTTTTGTCGTCGTTGTAATTCATATTACAAAATTTATACGAAACCATCAAATTACCAAAAATCATTGTCCTAATTAGAGATCAGATTTTACGCGGCTTTGTTCCTGTGGCCGCATTGCGCGATTTCGTTTCGACTCTGACGTTTACAAATCTACAAGGATGACACGTGTCGAACGATCAGTCAACGAACACGATTTTCGAAAGTGAAACTCACACCGAAAGTGCGGACGAGCCAATTCGTAACACATAGTCTCGTTCTCCCAGCGTCCCCTGAAATCGTTAATGAGATGCTGGACCAAAAGAGATTGAGACGTTCGTACGATTATTCGGCGGTTTAGAAAGTTTCTATAGATAGTCCATTACTTTTAATGGTTGTCTGCCCTCTTCCTTTTCGTATACAACCTAAAAACGTAGAATTGGAGACTCATTGAGACCCGTTTTCTAATCATTAACCATTTGATATTCACTTTTCGATGACTAAAAATACTTCAAACTACAATCAAAATGTAGTCTTTAGCTTTTAACTTTGTTATAGCGTTATGTTATCATCTAATTTTCACGTAAGCTTAGTTTCTCAAGTTTTCATCGTAATATCTTGAAGATGATACCAGGCATAAGTTCACGTTTTCAAAACTTTCTCTCGCCGCCAGAAAGAATCTTCGGGATTTTAAAATAGAAACGGACCAACGCGAAGCTTGAAACGACATTCGAGTCGTAAACCGAGCATCAGGTTTCTCCTTTCGACAAAAGCAATAATTGTCACGGCAATTTTTCGTTGTCCCTGATCGTTCCAACATTTATACCCGAGTCGCTTTGTTAAACGTCTCGGTTGTACGTTTGTGCAAACTCCTCGACGCGCAACTTTCTTTGCAAATGTCACAGGCACCCCGTTCGCGCGGCCATATTCTTCTCTCGCCGAGGGCCGGGCACTTAACTTTAGTCAAGTACACGGAACACCGATGTTTTCTCTTTGGCATCGCGACGACGTTACGTCGACGCGTCGAACAGAAGCGTTTCAAACCCGTCGGCATACCTCCACCGGGGACGATGAAAATCGCTTTTCCTTTTCGGTCGCGGAGACTTTAACGACCGGTGTGAAAGTTCGCCGCTGAGGTAATATCTGCTTTAACGGAAGGGAGCTCACGACCTCACGAGGCGCGGTCGCCGCCGCGAATGATCTGTTTCTCAGCCCCGACGATATTTTCTCCTCGTTCCAGACACGCTGCATTTACAGCGGCAAACAATAATTACAGTAATTATCTGCGATAAAACGCCGCGTCGAACTATTTCTTATAGAGCCGCGTGCTAAGAAATTGGAGTGTTATACCGTCGACATAATTAATATAACATAACCGGTTTTGAATTTAAGGGGGCATTCCCATTTGGGGATACACATAAAATTTTTAATGCCAGAAACCGTTTCGTTTTATCCATATCTCCTTGTTCTCTCTGACCTCGACAACTGTAACAGTTCATCGCATTTTAGTGTGTTCCTTTTTGTGTGAAAAAGTTATACGGTATATTTACCCCCACTATTCTTCGGTAAATGTTACTATATTTCACACAAACAAAGAAGTCACAGTTGAAGCGTAGGAATTTTATATATTTTATTTTTTATTAATAAATTGTATTACTACAATACCCATGACTGTGTTTGTTAAAAATGAAAAATGAATTTTTAAGAGAAATCGACAGGGGGGTAGGTGCCTAAAGGCGAAAAAAAAATTTCAAATCGTTCTAAAAAAATTATTTCTAGTTGCAGGGATCAATTACAATCATTTTTGGTGAATAGACATACCCTCGAATTCCTATGCACTTTCGAGAAAAAAATTCTTTACCGAAAATATAATGTGTGGCCAAAAATGCCCCAGTCCCGAGTATGCCAGTTAATTTTAATTAATTATGTTACGTGCAACATTATGCGACAGACTTCGACTTTTAATACAGACGTCTACGTATCGTTTCTTTTTCTGCTCGTAACGTTCGCGATTAATTTAAGAATTATCGAGGAAACGAGTCTTGAACGTCTACGAATTTTAACGACGAATATTTTACTCAGGTGGACAACTTTCACTGTGAGTAATTTATGCAAGTTTGTTGTACATCTTATAAAACGGTATTCGCGTTATTTTGGACGTGGAGATATTAAACGAACCGTCATTTTATTACTATTCGATCACAGTATTCAAGTTGAAAATAATAGTAAAACTATCAAAAAAAGAATAAATCGAACGATAATTAAAAGCCGTACATTAACGACATTTTTAATCGCGCGGAAAGTTAAAGATCTGCGGAGATTTTGATAATATTTATGTACGATATCGTTGTAAATCTATATAAATTTATGCTTTTTAAATTGAATAGTAAAAGTTAGGAACGCATGTAATAAATTTACATTTCTTTTCATACATATGCATACGCGTATGCATAGTAACTTTCAAAACGCCATCGCTATCGAGTTTGAATAACGAGAATGAATGTAATATGCATTCATTAACTGGGACCATTCATTTATAGCCACGCATATAAAGCAGTCCACTAAATTGCTTCTCTTGCTTGAACTAATGAAGTGCCATGTTCTGCACATATTTAATAGTTACTCGAGTAGATCTACATCGATGAATACAATAGATAAATTGTAATTATCTCGTTGTAACTTTTCAGGTAACGCTAGTGCTTCTATTGGCCACCGCATCGGTCACCCTGACGAGATCTCAAGAGACAGAGATCTCCGCCAAGGGTTTAGACGCGACGCAACCGCCAATAAAATTGGACAAGAATCTTCGCCAGGCCCTCTTGAAGGCATTGTCCGACTTAGAAGCCGAATCTGCCGAACAACACAAAAACGAGAAAGAAGCCATCGTCCAGAGAGATATTGCTAACATCGCAGGTGTATCGAAGAAGAACCTCAACAATGAGCTTGGCGTGCAAAAATCCATGTACTCTTTCCACGGGTTCCCCACGGACGAAGAGTTACCTTCCGAAGACAAGCTTCAGAACTCCAGTTTCATCGATGCTGTTCATTACGTAACGCTGAAGACACCTGCGATGAACATCGAGAAGGCTACGCGCGACGATGCCAGAAGCTTTCACGTTCAGAACGTGATATTGCCTGAGAAAAGTTCCATGACTTTTGGTGCCAAAACTGAGCCCAAACTGGAACAGAAAGCGACGAAAGTTCCACAAACGTCCAATACTTTCTCCGTGAGCAAGGTGGAGAGCCTGACTCTGAAACCAACCAAGGAAATCTCTGAGAGCCTCGCTGGTAGCGCGACCACAGGCATCGCGTCGGCCAACGCGCTGGTTACTAAAAAATTGGTCGAATCAGTTCCTACGATCGCAACTAATAGCAACGTAACCGTTTCCAGCGAGTCGAAAGATAAAACGGAGGAGGTGAAAATCTTCCAAGCGCCTCTAGTAGCCGCGTTCACCGTCCAACAGGACGAACTCGGGGTGCCCAAGAGCGTCGTGCCTATCTTCAGATCGCCTAACGACGGACAAGCCTTAACTCTCCAGGAGCAATTGGAATTTAAACAGCAACTGTTGGAGAAGCAACTGGCGGAGCTTCAACAACAACAACTCCAGCAGACGCAGTTTCTAGTGAGACAACAACACATCTACGAGCAACAAATCAGACAAAAACAGCATCAGCAGTACTACCTTCAAGAACAAGCCAGAATCAAACAACAAGAGGAGCAGGCTAAACTGAAACGACTCGAGGAGCAGAGGTTCAAGCAACTGGAAGAGCAACGTTTCAAACAATTGGAAGAACAGAGGCTGCATCGGTTTCAGCCGCAACGCCCGCTTCCGCAGAAACAGTATTTCTTCGAACAGAACAATCTATTGTCGTTTCAATCGCCCGTCGACGCAAACGTGCATCTTCAGCCTAGCGTGGCTTTGGAAGTCCCTAACGTCGCTGCGCCTCCGCCGTTCCAACCAGTGTTTCAAGAACAATTGCGCCTGCAACCGTTCCGTCAACAACAACCGCAGCACTATCAACAGCAGCAGCTGCAACAACCGCAACAGCAGTTACAACAGTTGCAACAACCGCAACAGCAGCTACAACAGTTGCAACAGCCGCAGCAGCAACAACTGCAGCCGTTGAAACAGCCACAGCAGCCACAGCAGCTGCAACAGTTGCAGCAACCGCAACAGCAACAGCTACAGCAGTTACAACAACCCCAACAGCTTCGTCAGCCTCAGCAGCAACATCATCATCAAAGGCTGCAACAAAGCTTCGCTGCTTTTCCTACCGATTTTCAGCCTTCGTTGCCGTCGACAACGAGGTTCAACAGACAGGAGGCCTTCAACGCGGTTGGTAATTTTGGATTCAACGTGGACAAAGCGCCCAGCAGAAACAACTTTGGATTCAACGTGCCGCAACGAAGTACCTCGAATTATTATAACCCTTACACGCAGTACAGGCAGACGAAGCCAGCTACGCCTGCCAAGCAGATTCAGCATCTTCTGTACCAGTCTGGCATCGCTGGAGATCTGAACAACGTGCCGGGCACCGGCAACCACGAGGATCTGAACATCGTCTCCAAAGTCCTGGCCCTGAACGTGGGCCATGTGCCCAACAAGGGCTTTCAATACAAGACGAACCAAGGGCCCATCTCGTTTGGGAAAGCATCGGCGTGAAGAAAGAAGTGGAACCAGAGGTAGACGAGTCATGTAAATGCAGGACGATATTAGTCAGGTGAAATCGAGCTCTCACTTTTTCCTCCTTCGCTTCTCCGTTCGTATTCCTCGTCTTGGATTTGACGAGTCCCTCGCGTAGGTACCCTTGCAAAATTGTAATTTTTTAACTGACAACAGGCTTCTATTAGATGCAAAAATAGCCTAATATTTCTATGAAACTTCAATGATAAAAAAAACTGGTAAACTACTTTGAAAATATTTCGAATTGACTTTTCCGCAGATATGGATTACGATACAGTGGATTACTTATTTGTGAACCTAATATAATCTCGACAATCGATGTTACTTGTATTCGTATAGCTGCATTTAGCAGTAACTACTGAATGGGGACTACAGAAGAGATGTTTAATCTCTTCTAATTAGTAATTCAATTACTGGCTCGGATCCATTATCGCGATTGTGGAAGTCTAAACGGCAGTTTGCTGCTCGCAGTCAGACAACACGTTGGTATTGTAATCAATGGATACGGTAATCTTGAACAATTCCGAGCGAAATCGAACCGAAATCTTCGCGTAACTCGTTAAAATTTGCGTTCCATCGTGCGTGGGATTGTTACGATTCCCGAAGAAAAACACAACTTTCCACGCAGCGGTCTTCGTAATGAGGAACTCCTTAAGAGGTCGTAATGATATTAATTACGATTCAGAACATTTGAAACTGGGGTTCACCGTATGCACCAGCCTGTGTCTTCGAATTACGTAACGCTGAACCCTATTGCAGCACAGATTCTGTATATAATCGCACGATTCTTGCTTCCTATCTTCAATTGCGCTTTCATTTTTCCTTTACTTTCTGTGTTATCCGTATTGCCAGTTTGGTCAGTTACTCGTGAAACGTGCTCAATCACCGTGAAGTTTCTTTGTGGTATGTTGCTGGTCTCTAAACCAATCTGCAATCGATGCGATTCAAACCAATTTTTACTGACAATTTTTATACACAGCCAGTGGAAGACGGCTAACAGGGATACTATAAGTAGGTTTCACGGTATCTATAAAGTGTTATAACGATTTTCGTAACTGTAAGACATACACAGGGTGTTGGATGAAGTTGGGGCTAAATTGAGAACGTGTACAGTTTTATATTGCCAACTGTTCGAATTTTAACCTCGACATTACACGATACTAGTGTTTCCGATTTAATCATTTCTCCTCGATTTACTCTTTGACTTTAGAAAAATATTTTCTTTTAACAATTATTTTCATAATCATTTGCATTCAAGATGTGAAGAGACACGTTTTTGTCGAAATAGGTATGCATAAAATCACGGTAGAAATAGCGTTAAAGTCGGGTCCCAATTTTTTCTCAGCATCCCGTAGTGAAGACGATGATGGCGAGTGTTTGGGCGAACCATAGTATCGGAGCCAAAGTCAGAATTTCTGCCCAAGTTCAAACAAACCTGTTTAGAGTATGGCGTTGAAGCCTCGCCTGTTTCGCGTCCCCGACAATAGTCGGATCGAAACGCACTTGCATCGGAAGACAACGGTTACGGACGATTGCACCATGGTATTCCTGGTGCTTTGGGCCAGCCTTGCCGCTGACTATTAATTATTTATCTAGATGTACGCGTAGAACGAGCTAGCTACGGGACGTTGCGCTACCAGGAATTCAACTCTCCTGAGATCAAGGGTCTCGCAAAATCGTGTATCCGGCCACGCTTTGGGATTGAAAATACCTCGTCGACTGTAAATAAACTTTCGCCACGAGGATACCTCACAATGCCACCGAGGAAGGCCTCGCGCATGTGTACGTGCATGTCCTCAATTTCACAAACGTTTGGCATAGATTCCAGATTTCTCTCGGCGGACGAATCTCGTCGAAGGGTAGCCGTGAATCGATATCGATAAAACAATAACTTAACGTCGATGAAAATATCTATTAATTTGGACACGATCGAGCCCCGAGGTCGTATTCCTCTCGGTAGCACCATGAAAATCTCGAGGATTTTTCGTAAGTGCATAAACGAATGCGAAACGTGCGTGGGATGCACTTTAAGCGAGAGGACCCGGGAAAGTTGTAATACAATAGCCACACACGCCGGCGATTTCTAAATGTGTGTTAAGACTTAAATTTACGTTACAAATTAATATAACATTAGGGTACGTAGATGATATGTTAGACGTAATCGACAAGTTTTGCTTGTAATTTATCTGACGCCAAACTGTACGAACCTTTGTAAAAATGTTAATAAACTAATTCGTTGTAAAAAAAAATAATAGGTACTCCGTTTTTTGATAGTATTAAACGGTTCCAACTATACTATCAATTAATAACAAAACACTTTGACAAAATTGTTTTGTGTATAGTGTACCTTTAACGATAGAAATCAATGTGTCCGTGATAATCAATCTAGAATGTACAACTCAGCAAGTTTAATAATATCATTGAATTGAACATGGTAGGGATGAGACCAGGTAATTAAACTATCGTAAATGTACGCACCCTAGCCAGCGAGTATCATCCGATTCGTTGATGTCAAATTGAGTCCAGAAATTTCATTTAACTTTTTGAGGCGTATTTAATAAAGAATTTGCTTGAGATGTTCTTTATTACGGGTTTGCAGGACCACACATCCGGTTCTATAACACCAAAGAATTTGCTTCTGCTTGATAAGTTGGCGATCTGACTATACTGATATTCCTAGCATTTAAATATATTATTTCTTGTAATAATGATAGTTTTCGATAATAATATTCAAATTCAAACTTGCCATAAGCTTCGTACTACAATCAAAGAGTAGATATAGCTATACAATCTTCGTAGGAATGTGTAATAGTGTATATACAAAACAAATATGGCGGAGGACAACGTAGGTTCGTTGGAAGAAGAAGCTTTGAAAAGAAAAGAACGTTTGCAAGCTCTCAAAAGGAAAACTGAAGACAACAAGGAAAACAAGGCAGAAGGTGGTATTAAACTGCCAAAGTAAGTTTGTATTTCTTTTAGATAGTTTAAAATCTAACCTCAAAGAAGAGAACACTGTATCTACTGAATTTTAATAGACCAAAATTTCGAAGTTACAAACCACAAGATGAAAGCCTTAAAGGTAAGGTATTAGACGATGCGAAACCCGGAAATGTAGAAGCAGAAGTACATGATCAATTAAGTGCTGCAACTACCAAAGTTGTTATCGAAGAACTTGTAAGTAGATGTTTGTGGCATTGGAATATTGATTTTATCATTTTGTTCATTTATTATAATTTATCAGGATATTAGTAATCTTGCTCCTAGAAAACCAGATTGGGATTTAAAACGGGATGTTGCTAAAAAATTAGAAAAATTAGAAAGAAGGACTCAGAAAGCAATAGCAGAGCTTATACGAGAACGTCTTAAACAAGGACAGCATGACTTAGCTGTTGTAGTGAATATGGCAACTAAAGAACAGGAGGAATCACCTACCTGATTATATTAATCACTTTCATGCTGTAAGATTTAAATTATTTTGTATGTATAAAATAATAATGAAATATATTTTTAATAGTTTTATTTATTGTAATTTAAATCATGGTTTGTTTCAGTTTAATATATTTCATATATGTATACATATATATTTGTGAAGAAATCTTATTAGCTACGTGATTCAATATAATAATTCATTATGCCAGCCATAGGAATTGTTAGATAAACACATACAGATATCAAAGGCCCCATTTTGTAGATTAATTTTGTTTTCTTCATCTACCAAAAAAAAGTAGCTTAAATTTTTTTTAGTATTTTTTCTAATTCTATCGTGGCATATTGTAAAGAAGCAAAGACTGTAACCTGACAATCTTGTGTAATTGCACTTTATAATCAGTCTGTATAAGAATCAACTCTTTACTAATGTGTACATATATACAATGCCTAAAGTACTCTTATACTTAATTATTAGTAATACATAAATTACAGTCGAAAATAATAAAAATATTTTGTTTTGATTTTATGTGCTATAGTAAAAACTATACACACAATTTTTTTTACGCGTAACTGTAAATAAATTACTTGTAATCGACATTTTGAATACTATCAAATATTCCTCATGAATTAAATGTGCTTTGTAAAAATATGATTTCTTTTTTTTCGATCGTTTATATGATGCTATTAAGAAAATTGACCAATATAAAATGTTCGTAATCAAAATTTTCTGTGATAAAGACAGACAAATCTGGAATTGTGCGAATACATTATAAATGTAACTTTAATGTTTGATTTTTAAATTCTTTCTCAGATAACATGTTCCATCTGTATTTCAATATTTTAGAGACTTCCCTTTCAGTGCTCTCATAGCTGCAACTATTTGTTTTAATCCATTCATAATGCTCTGGCGACCAATTCATTATTTTTAACCAATCCCTATCGCATCTCTTTAAAACTGCATTTCGTCGGACGTATAAACAGCGTAAAGCCTTTGCGGTCGAAACGATTTCTAAAATCGTAGCTGTTGATATCTTATCTCGGATCATCTGTAGAAAAATATTCCTTGGGTGTAAAATTCTATCAAATTACTAGTCTAAAACTATTCAGATGTTTTTCAGAAATTCACCAGTTAGTTACTACTATCACAATTACATTAGCCGTAATACAAGAAACTAACAAAATACGAGGGAAACCAATCCGTGCGGATGCGTGTAACTTTTAATTGAAACGTTCAATTTTACTGGACTAATCATCGATCCAATCCATAGCCAACTTATCAAATGTGTCATGGTAAAATGTTTGCCTCCCACTGACTGGCTTCCAAGTCATTGATATAAAATTGATCTGTATCTAAGTCTGTTGCCTTGTGTACTATTCACAGACCATTGACATTGCCACACAACATATGTACATAAATAGAACTCTAAAAGGTTCAAGAGAAGTTTTCGACGTTTTTAACATATTTCTTACAGTTTATGTTATATATACTGAGTTAAAGCCTCATTAGATGAAACTTACAAGAATGGTAGTAAAGCCTTTTGTACAACAAGAATTTGAATGCATGCCATCACACCGTAAGAACTGTGTTAGAATCAGAATTTTAAAAAAGCTATCGGGTACAACATCAGAAATTTCGTTCAAACACAAAATGCTACCAGTGTATGAAGATTTGGACACATTCTGCAGAATTGCACTAATGCTTCATCCAATCTTTGTGCAAAATTTCTATGCAAGAAGTATCTTGTCAATCCTTTGAATGCATATACTTTCATTGTGGATGCAAAAAATGTTCCATGAGTAAGAATAGTAGAAGATGAAATCTGTAATGTTTATTTTAAATATGAAATTACAAAACGAGTTTGCTTATTTCATAGCATATACCAACCTGTGTATTCGGATTATCTACAACGATACTATGGCATGGAATAGCACCATGCTCTAATAGATCAATGGGCAAAAGTATATCTGTAGGTTTGTAACTTTCCACTTCAAAATGTACTTTAAGATAAGGATTATTTGCTTTCATTTTTACCCAAGAAATTCTTTTAGGCTGAATCAACATAGTTTTAAAAATAAGGTGACATGTTTAAAAACTTTAGTCTTAACTAATACTGATATTTATATTACCAATCTTATTGTAGTACCCTTTGGACTGTAGCGATTTTGAACAATATGAAGATGTTTCAATTTAGTATAGCCAATTAATTCTATTACATCTTCATGAAGATTTTGAGGACTAATAACCAACACCTTTGCGAATGAAAACAATAACTTTAAATCAACGAATTTATATCTGTTTAAAGTTTTTTATCAAATGAAACTTACATTTAGATTAATAAATACTCCAACATGTAAAAGGGAGCAATTATACATTGTGGTATTAATTAATACTAATTTTGACAATGTTTGTGTACAATTTGCACAAATATCATCCAGTAAATTTAAAGCTTCTTTACTATCCAGCATAAGATCTATCAATTCTAAGCATGTCATGTTATGCAAATTACGCATGAGTCTCTTCAATGCTTCTAGCAATTTTCCACCAGTACCAAAGAGCCTAATGCGGTCAGGATCATCTCTGTTTGCCATATTGCAAGGAAATGTAAATTTAAGATGCCTAATATAAGTACCAACTCCTGCCACTGATGTATTATCTGATCCTTGTTTCTCCGTGTACCAAGATATCATATTCATAAATTCATAAAGATTATAAAAATTTAACATAGGCTCGAAAACCAGTGATCGAAAATGCATTCCAACTTTATTCAAACATGCAGATGTTCTCATATGATCCAAAACATATTGCCAACCGCTATAATAATTGAATTTACCCCTAGTAAGCGTTGTATCTTCTAATATAAATCTTGACCATACCCTTTGGAATTTAAAAGCACGATACCACGATTTACACACCAAAGAAGCATAATAACGCTCACGAACAGTTAGGTATGTAAAAATTTCTTCTAGAAGTATGTCAGGTGTTTGATCCCAATGGCTATATATTTTATTTTTTTTATCCTCTTCTGTGTCTTCATCCTCAAGGTCTACGTACAACGCTATCAAATTTCATTAAAACGTACAACATAGGATAATTGTTCACGATTTTATACTACTCTGCAATACCGAATACGTATACAAGACGATTTCACTAAACATAGAAATTGTATACGCGACCAGTTAACAGTTCTAAAATCTTTTTGTACATTTTATCTTACAAGTTTTTAAATTTTATTCGCTTTCGTTAGTATTCTTTCTGACATTTATTGCTCTGTAACCTAGAATATTCCGATGCTCACCTTTGTTTTCTCCGTTAAATTTCCAACAACCTTGGCTCATTTTGGTCACAAATCAGTGTCAATATTCTGTTAAAGTACGATAATCGTGCGCTTGTAATAAAATATTTCTATGCAATATTTCTAAAAATACACTAAAATAGCAAGAGGACGTTGCAACCGACCGAACATCTCCATGATGTAGCTACGATAGAATATTCTTAGATTTTATACACCGTCGTGAACTCTATATTTTCGTACCACTAACATCTACGATGCTATTAAAATCAACCAATCAAATGTTATAATTTATAGTCATAGATAATGCAACTAATTAAGTGTGAACATTTAACAAATTATGAGATTGAAAATATATATGTTTAATTTCCAACGGTGATTTTGATCCTTTGATCCTAGACATTTTTATATTTCGTTTCAGCAAATTTCTACTTATGCTACTATCGTATATTCTATATGGTAGTAAGAAAAATCTAATTCAAAATAATACATTTAACATAAGTGAAGAAATAACATACAATATATATTTCATTATAATTTGTAATGTAAACATAGTCATCGAATGGTATTTTTTGAGTCACTCTCGTGCAGCTTAGACTTTCTTTCCAAATATGGAACAATTATAATCAATCTTTGCCTTAGTTTACGCATCGACTAACAGTGTAATATAAATGTGGCTCGACCTAATCATGTCTTAATCATATTAGATTGCAAATACTGATTGAATAATTATGAGATGCTTGCATCACAATATTATGAGAAGATACAATGATAGTCAACAAATTCTATGTCGAGGCAGAGATGCCAGATGCAGCACCGGGTGCACTATTCAAACTAACGCAGGCCCTCTTTCTCGATTCTCCGAAGCGGTCCGAAGTAATTTCGGACCGCCTCGTGGGAGTCGAGAGAGAAAGGCTCACATTTGCCTTCTCGCTCTTAACAAATAAAATCCGACCTCCCGTCAACGGCATACGATTTGGAATCTCGAGCCGAAATTCTCGACTGTCCAGGCATTTTCGTGTTACTCGCAAAGTTACCAACAGATTCAGAAATGAATTTTAATCCCTCCCATAGTCAACTCACATGGATTTACGCAAAACCACAGACGAGGTATATGAATAGACCTTTCACCTTATGGACTTTCGCGGCCGAATCTGACTGCCATACCGACCTGAAAATTCGGAGGTGATTTTAGCGGCCTCTTCTCATGGATGGCGGTCAGTTGAGAAACTAGGCACTGAATTAGTATTAATGGGCAGCCAGCTGAATGTGTGCGTAAATACATGTGAGTTGACTATGGGAGGGATTGAAAAAGTATAGCTTCGAGGATTCGAGAAAGGCGGCGAATGTGAGTCTATCCTTCTTGCTCTCAACACAGCTGAAATTCGAACTCGCATAATCTCGAGTGCCCAGACATTTTTTACTTTCCGACCTATGTAGGCATATATGTATATGTTCCTACGCTTGGGTACAAAAAATACCCGCGATCACTATATTCGCCAAAAATACTAAGTATACAACTGGTCACCCGTGTTGATTCGGATATTTCATCCTACAACATGGTTGGGGACCAGAGGAAACAAAATAGCATGCGACTCACCAACTGTAAAATTCAAGCACCCGGGCGACGATGTTGCCTAGTAGGAGTCATCAGCGAAGTCATCAGCGACGTTAGAAACGAAGTCAGCATCAAGGTCAGCAGCGAGATCATCGTCGAGTTTCCCTGGATCCACAAGTACGATGATGAGATGTCAGGATCCTTTAGAAGGAAAGAGTAAATGTTTTTACGAAAGATTTCTATCGTATTTGAAAACTTGATGGCAAATTTAAATCACACAATTTTTTTTAAGCGTACTCAGAACAAAATACAAAGGATACTTACATTTTTCGCACGTGGGCATCGCCAAATATTCTTTTTCGTATAGATACAGGTTTCCTGTCGAAACGTGTTCACAAACTCTCAAAGCATTATGGCGTCGCGACAATAGCGTGACCGTAGTTTGGCCGCAGTTGAGAGTCTCATGTGATTGAATTGTAATTACGAGCTGCCACAGAAATAAAACACAAATTTGTTAACAGACACTTATTAATATTGGATAAATGCATCGATGGATAATGACGAAAAGAAGAGAACCGGTTAAAAATGAAAAACACGTTTGACCGTAGTTGAGCGTCCCGTGTTTGAATTGTAATTACGGGCTCTTACAGAAATAAAACACAAATTTGTTAATATGCACTTATTAATATTGTATAATTGCATCGATGGAGCATGACGAGGAGAATAGAAATGGTCAAAAATAAAAAATACGTATCTAATTAGACGCGAAGCTGTCAACGCACTTCTCACACCACTTTCCAGACGAAGAATGACGAACAGGATCGGACACGATCTCGCGCGAGGAGTGGGGAGTGGGGTGAGGGAGTCACGTAGTCCGTCTCGACTCTTGATGTGTATTTTCGAAAGAAAGGTTAAACCTTATATCTCGAAGAACTGAAAATAAATAAAATTAAGACATGAAGAAAATAAAATTAATATAAAAAGATATGAAACAAACAATTAATTAATGATTTATAATCTTTATACTCCTGTGACGTCACAATGAGCAGTATCCGACTTTCGATTATTCGATAGATTCAATAGTGTCTCTTAAAGATAAAATATCGATATACATAGGGAACTCATTTTATCGAAATATGTACTAATTAATATGTAAATATATTCATTTTTAATTGAAATTTTAATAAATGCTTTTCATATAAATTGAGTGAACGCAACAACAATAAACAAATAATATGTATAAAATATACAAATATATTAATTTTTCACAATGTTTTTCTTTTGCGTCATAGGACTCCCACTGAATACTGTTCCTGTTTGTTACTCGTCTGTACCTATTTCTAGTGTATTCTATAATATTCTTTAAAAATAATTTTATTCTTACCATTGTTAGCATTCCTAAGCCAAGGATAATGATGCGATACGTTTCTTATCTTTTAAAAGCTCGGTCAGGTTGTGTTTACATTCTCGGACGCCGGCCTCTCGACCTCACCTTGGAGATGGACTCATGAATTCCTGATCTGCGTGACACTAACACTGTTGTTTTATGCGTCTATACTATGCATTGTCTGTGCCCTTAATCCCTGTGTTACGAAAAAATATCGCGTTCGGCGTCTACTTCACACTTCGTTTATGCCTGTAGAAGACTTCCCACCAAACTGCGTCAAGTTCAATGTTATCGACACCGCGTCACAGGAGGTTGGATATCTAGTGAAAATTAAAATAAATAGCTTTAGAAAATTTAGTAGAAACAAAAGAAACTTTTATATGAAAAACTGATTGAAATTTAGATTGAAAGTTAATACTTACGCATTATATGGTTATAATTAATATATTTTAATTGATCTAGTTATATATGCAACCAATAACAGATCGATATTAGATGAGCCAATGACAGCTTCTCATTGTGACGTCACAGGAGTATAAAGATTATAAATCATTAATTAATTGTTTGTTTCATATCTTTTTATATTAATTTTATTTTCTTCATGTCTTAATTTTATTTATTTTCAGTTCTTCGAGATATAAGGTTTAACCTTTCTTTCGAAAATACACATCAAGAGTCGAGACGGACTACGTGACTCCCTCACCCCACTCCCCACTCCTCGCGCGAGATCGTGTCCGATCCTGTTCGTCATTCTTCGTCTGGAAAGTGGTGTGAGAAGTGCGTTGACAGCTTCGCGTCTAATTAGGTACGTATTTTTTATTTTTGACCATTTCTATTCTCCTCGTCATGCTCCATCGATGCAATTATACAATATTAATAAGTGCATATTAACAAATTTGTGTTTTATTTCTGTAAGAGCCCGTAATTACAATTCAAACACGGGACGCTCAACTACGGTCAAACGTATTTTTCATTTTTAACCGGTTCTCTTCTTTTCGTCATTATCCATCGATGCATTTATCCAATATTAATAAGTGTCTGTTAACAAATTTGTGTTTTATTTCTGTGGCAGCTCGTAATTACAATTCAATCACATGAGACTCTCAACTGCGGCCAAACTACGGTCACGCTATTGTCGCGACGCCATAATGCTTTGAGAGTTTGTGAACACGTTTCGACAGGAAACCTGTATCTATACGAAAAGGAGTATTTGGCGATGCTCACGTGCGAAAAATGTAAGTATCCTTTGTATTTTGTTCCGAGTACGCTTAAAAAAAATTGTTTGATTTAAATTTGCCATCAAGTTTTCAAATACGGTAGAAACCTTTCGTAAAAACATTTACTCTTTCCTTCTAAAGGATCCTGACATCTCATCATCGTACTTGTGGATCCAGAGAAACTCGACGATGATCTCGCTGCTGACCTTGATGCTGACTTCGTTTCTAACGTCGGTGATGACTTCGCTGATGACTCCTACTAGGCAACATCGTCGCCCGGGTGCTTGAATTCTACAGTTGGTGAGTCGCATGCTATTTTGTTTCCTCTGGTCCCCAACCATGTTGTAGGATGAAATATCCGAATCAACACGGGTGACCAGTTGTATACTTAGTATTTTTGACGAGTTAAGTGACCGCGGGTATGAAAAATACCCATGAGTTATATTTTTTTAGTGCAGGCTAGGGTCTTCTTGCACTCGCGTTTTTTAATGTTATCAATAAATATTACACAATTTTGATAAAATATATGAAATATGTTTATTATCTTTATATGAATTAAATAATTGAGTAGAATATGAATTAATATAATGTGAAAACATTATATTAATCGTATGATTGAGTAAAATATCTTACATCATTAATATAATTATTAAATATTCGTTTTATTAATTAATACATCATATGATGTATTTTATGTGCAAGAAGGCGTTTCGCGACTGGTCGATTTTCAACTCAAAGGAACATGCATGTTAATTTTATTTTTTTTTTAATTTACTTTGACGACAGAATCGACCAAGGTTAATTGAATATTTTGAATAATAATTTAACAAATTTATTTCAATTTGCAAAGTAAATTATTTTATCATGAAATCTTTATTAAAGTCTTACATTTTGAACAATTAAATTTCAATCACAAATTTTTCTTGAATAATAATATCTTTCAATATTAACGTACTCTGTTGTTGATATATTACATATAACAAGTCGAGTCATTTTAACCGAGAATAGATACCGTTTAGTTAATTATTAATAACCAGTTGTT